GACTACAGGCATAGCTCTCGTGGTAGAGCACTTGCCTAGCAAGCACAAGGCCCTGAGTATAATGCCCAGTACCATTCAATTTTTTTTCAATAAGCTTTTTTACTTTAGCAAAGTTTTAAATTTAAAGAATCATTGTGAAGATAGTACAGAGGGTTCCCATACACCCAAGCAGTTTATTTCCTCTATTCTTAAAATCTTTACTCAGTATGGTCAGCTTTGCCTTTAAAGGTGTCTCTGGCCACTGTGAGAAGAACAGACTTAATGGTCAAGAGTGATGACAGCAGCATGGACTTAAGAGTAGTGTTAGCAATGATGAGAAAGGCTGATGGGCTCGAGGTATATGTAGGTGGGAGAATTTCTAGGACCTGGTGATCAATGGAACAGGAGAATTCAGGAATGATTCCATGTTTCTGGCTCCTAGCATAGTCCTTATAATATTTCCATGCAGTTATTTATTTATGGATCTATCCTTCTCTGCAAGACACTAAGTTCCTTGAATTCAGGAACAGCATTATATTCTTCTTTGTGTTTCGTGCATGCACGTATAAATGTGTCTGACACATGGACACCCAAAGAATGCTCATGGATAAACAAACAAGCAAATAAACAAATGGCACATTAAATACAAGACAAATGATAAAAGTCAACCTCACAAATAAGGTAACTTTTTAATCACCTATAGACATAGTTCCCAAATAATGGACCAAGGATTCATTACATCAGACATTCAGAAAACAGAACATTTCTCACCCTGTGCCTGAAACTTCCAATTGAATAGATGTATGTGGGGTTTTCCCAGGTTGCTCCTTCTAGGGAATGCTGATGCTCAACCAGCTAGACTTGGGAACCACCACCTAAAGCAGTGCTTCTTAACCTTATCTCAATAGCTACAGATTTGATAAAATCCCATCAGCCCAATTAAAAAAGTCCCACTTCTGGCAATTCTGACTTAACTGCCCTGAGTTCTGCATGGGCATTAGGAGGTAATTATACAGCCAAGACTGAGAACTCTAACCTGGGCAGGTGGCATTCCCCACTAATTGAATCAATGATCTACACTAGTAGTTTTCAAACTTAAATTTGCTCAGTAAAAACAAAACTCAGAAGGTCTAGAATTGCCCAAGAACTTGTATATGAAGCAGTTCCCAGGTGACACTGACGCTGGTGGTCCCAGGACAGCACTTTGACAACCACTGTCCTAGACAGTTGTTGCTGATAAGAATTTATTAATACACTAAGCATTACACCAGCACTGAGAGAAGATAACACCCTGGGGAGGTACCAAGAATAGGCAAGACTTTCACGGTATTATTTAATGTAATTTACCTCAGCAAACTAGATAGAAAAGGCTGCTATCTTTTACATTATTGATACAAAGAAAACCAAAAGGACAACACCATTAGCTCGTACTTACCAGTAATAAAGATGATGCAACACCGAGTTTCCCACTTTACTCAGTCTACCCTCAGCAAGAAAGAATTACACACTTAGCACTTCACAGTTTGGTGCTTTCACATTATAAAACTGTTTTTGATCATCACAAAAACTTTTGTGGTAGATATACAATAGGTATAATCTCATTTTAAAGATGAGGGGACTAAGCTCAAAGAAATCAAGCAATCCATGGTTATATAGCTAATAAATACCAGCCCTAAAAGCACACCTCTACTGACATCTGGCCCAGGACTTCTAACATGCTGGTACTTTCTCTATGCCTGGGCCATCTCAAGGAACTCAGAATATAGGTAGGCAGAAGAATCTGGGATTCTTCAGGCAATTTTGATTAACATGCTAAAAGTTCAAATGGGAGTGCATCAAGTCACTTTCCCCCTAGCTTCTCAAGCTAGATAGAAAATTTGATAAGCCAAAGCCCATGCCAGGTCTCTCCAAGTCAGAGAACTTACATTCAAAACCAATACCCTAAGGAGATCATGAGCCAGACTGAATGTGAACTCCTATGGCAAGGAGTTTAGGAATTCCTTTTCTCTTCTAATATTTTCTAATGCTTTCACTGCCTCCCTTTGTCTACCTTGCTGTCTTTTCCTAATTTATGTACCAGTCAGCTCCTTTAGTAACCAACCACAGATTCCCAGTCTTGAAATTTAGTGTGAAAGACTGTGCATCTATGTGGTTCTTAAAGGAGCTGATCAGTTGAGTGATATATAAAAGCTTGGCCTAAAACACATGGCTTATTATTTTACTGTCTGCATCACTTTTGGAGAGCTTAAAAATAAAAATTGTAGGCTAGCAAAACAATTTTGTGAAGAGTTAAACTTATTTTCAATCATTCACTCAATATTTAGAGTGCTAAAGCTCATTTATCTCCCTGACTGGATTACAGAACTGTTTCGTTTGTGGTTTTGAACTTAACAATAAAAATAAAGCTTAAAACAGAAAAGTTCTGTCTGGTAATAAAGAATAAATATATCATTCATTTTGAAAATCTGCTGAACAATTTTCAAAGATGACTTTTAGAATACTCAGTCACAAATGCCCAGAAACCACACCATAGTTACAAACTTTCAAGGTTAAATATAGTAAAATTCTAGACTTAGCTTCTCTATCAGAATGAATTAATTATAACATTTCAATTAAAACTGCAGTGAGATCAATATTTCAGAGGGGCAGGCTCTACTTCATCACAATAAACAGTAAGTCCAGGAATCACACAGCATAAAGTCTAGAGTACTTTGACAAATTAAAGAAAACCATTAGGCTGATGGAAGGCTTGCTCTGGGAGTATTTATGGCTGAAACCCACAGAAGTGCACATGATTTTTTTGAAGTATGTCACATCTCAACAAGAGTTAAAGAAAAAGGGAAAAACTCCAGTATGGTTGTTTATTGTTTACTGGTACAAATTTAAAGAATCATGGATTTTTGCAGTTTAATTCTGAATATTTGATTTGGAAAGAAAACAAAATTAGAAGAACTCTCTTCATAAAACAGTGTTATTAATATCTTGATAACAAGTATCAATAAGAACAGAATATGGACATTTGGACTGTAACTGGCACCAAAACGTGGCTACCTAGAGCTAAAAAGCATTTCAGAGAAGCACACATGGAATAATGTCAGGCAAGACTGCCTTAGAATGTCACACCTGATAGTGAAAACCATTGGGCTTGCAGCAGCAGCCTGTCTGCTTTGTTTCCTCATTAGCTACCTCACATGAAATGCTTAAGTAAACCCACTGGGGTCATCAGGTTGCGGAATTCTGCACGGCTTTACTTGACATCTCTCTCCTCAGCAGTGGATGGGTACAGAGACAAGGATGTCTTGGGAGGAGACAGATACTGACAAAGAAAGAGAGAGAACAACAAAGACTAAACCATTCTGTTTCTTTTCTTTTAAATACAAATGATAGCTTGAGGAAAATAAAGAGAAAAAAATCAGTCTACAGAAAGAGAACAATGAAGCAGGTATCCAGGGTAAAGCAGTTCCAGTACCTTCCTAGACCCTGTTGTGCTCCTGCCCCAGGGCACTGAGGGACCCAGCTCCTGAGAAAAGTCTCCCTTTTCCATTTAAGCTAGCTAAAAAGGATTTCTGTTTACACACATGCATATGAAGGCATAACACACACACCCCAAATAATACAAAGAGAAAGTTAAAGGATTCTGCTGAATGTTGTCTATGAATAATTATTGTTTTTAGTCTCTGTATAGTTCATTCCATTAAGTCGAATCTATATCCTAGACTGGAGTTTTGGGACAGGGTGAATTATTCAGCTCTGATTTCTCTGAGAACAGAGTAAACTATGACCAGGTGACTGGTAGTGCCCAGTTGATCTAAGTAAATAGGCTCACTGTCTATGTGCAAATAACTAAGACAAGGGAAGACCGAGGTTTTCTGCCCTATTATCTTTTTTCTTAAAAACTGTAATTGCACAGATTAGGCTTTTAACAGAACAGCAGCTTCCTGTAGCAACCTCTCAACCCTTCATCTCAGAGGCAACCACTTTAAATTCTTTTTATTTCTTCTGATATTTTATTCTACATTTCTAAATAATATGCTCATAGAATTCATTGATTTTTTTTTTCATTTTCAGATATTATCTTTTGATTTCCTACTATAAAAAATGAAGCAAAGCAACATCTATTTAAGAAAATACAAACATAAGCAACAAAATTCACTCAGTGGCCTTATTGAATCTACACAACAGAATTTTTTAAAATTATAATGCAAATTAAATGGCAAAAATCCATGAATTTTCTGTTGGAACTAATCAGCACAATTCAGAGTTTGAAGCACCAAGCTAAGGGTTTAACACTCCTCACTCTGCTTAGGCCTTTTATTCATGTGCTACACTAGTTTATGAATTAGACATGGGTCTGGCTTGATTCTTAAAGAAAAATGTTATTATTAAATAATTCTGAAAATGTTCTGCAGCTATAAATCAGGCTGTTTAAAGCCAAAAGTTTTACAAGTCCTTCTTAATTAATGTATGCTCTTTCATTTATAGGAAATTATTTTTTCACTTGGCATTTAACTTACAAAATTACATTTCACCTCATGAAAAATCTTTCCAGTACAGTAACAACTGACACAAGAATTTTCTAATTTAAACAAGTCAAATGGAAAAAGTCTCTGAGGAAATATTTAAAAAGTTAACATAACAAACTTGGGAGTTACTGCTTCATATGTACAAAGATCTTACCCCAAAAGTATATGAAGGTTGAAGAGATTTATAAGTATATTGTCTACTACAGTTAATTATAGAAAAAAATTTAAATGTCTACTTGTAACTTTAGCTAACAATCACAATGCCAATGTAATTGTTCCAAGTTTGCTGAGCAGTAAAACTCTTATCTAGGCAGCAAGATTTCTCCTTGGAAAATATTTTATCATCTAAATAGGACTTTCCACATTAAATTCAGTTTATTAATGACTACTTCAAGCTTAACTAAAGTGAAAACATATTAAAATATAATTGTCGCAAGTTTTTATAAACAGAGTGATCAAAAGGTATCATAGCCTTTCACCTAATTTAAATTCACTTACATTTGGAAATATTTATTCAGCATAGCCAAGTCCCCAGTGCTAGGGAAAAAACAACAAAACAGACCAGTTTCACTGTCTGTAACCAGGCAATGTGCTTTATTAACACAAAATATACTCATTACTAAAATATTCTTACAAAAATTAAACAAATATGGGAATGCAAATATTCTCCATCTTAAAAAGTACACCAAAGACAGCCACACTGAGGTGCCTTTCTAGCACAGCAGTGAAGTCTGGAGAACCTGTGCTGCAAAGTAAAATATGTGCTAGGGCTGAAGAGACGTTTATATTTGAGATATATGAAAGGTGTAGAATATTAAACAAATCTTTGATCATTTTAAGAATTCAATCATAGTTCTCTAAATGTTAACAATTAGTATCAAGCACTAGCCACAAGACTTCTTGTGGTTTGATGGGAAAAGGTAGAGGAATTAAAAACAACTATCTTAAAAGATGAATCATTTGAAGGTATCTTGGAGCTCAGATTCAGCTACATTTATCTATTTACTTTGACTGACCTTTTTTTGTGGGTTAGGGGACTAGGTAAAGTTGAAACGAAAGGTTTGTGAGACAGAGTACATATTCAGCTATACTATCTGTTTACTTTGGCTGACCTTTTTTATGGGGAAGGGGAAGAAAGAGAAGTATCTGCCTGTGGAAATCTCTGCTAATAAACACAAGGATCAAAAAAGCCCATCAACCCCACCAAAGTTAAGACACTGACTGTATAAAGGCAGATCCTACAAGAGTGAATGTGACAGAGAGAAAACATACTCTGCATCTGCTGTTTTGTTAAAATTCTAAGTTGCCTACAATCCAATTAAATATCACTTTCTTGCTTATGCAATATAATAATGTTATTTACCTTATGCTAAATTAAATATTAAGAATTGTACTATTAAAAGGCATTAAGAAACACTTTCAGTGCCTTATACAGTTTTTCTCATGTTTTTATTTTGAAAATTACCAATCCACATAAAAATTCAAAGAATAATACGAAGAACACCATATACCTTTTGTCTAGTTCACCAACTGTTAAAATTTTACACTTGTTTTATTCTTCTTTCTCTACACATACACATGTAAAATATTTTTGCTGAGTCATTTAAACATAACTCACAGACATTCTGCCTTGAGCATCTCTGTGATTCTGCTGTTTTTAAAAAACATTTTGCTCATAAATATAAGAACATACACTTATAGTAATATGGTACTAAATATTAAGAATACATATATATGGGAATGAAAAGAAGAAGGAAACTAAAATTTATTGAGTGCCTGACATAGGCCAGGCACTTTGTGAATAGCTTCCATATGTTGATATTTAAGTGTCATAAAATACATTTTAGGATGGAAACAAAGACTCAGAGATTAGTTGACTAATCTAAGAGATTAAATAATATAATTTAATTTTATATTAAAGCTAATATTTATTATACATAAATGTAAAATACAGCTGGTAATGGAAAAATCTCGGATTTTAAGCTCCACCTTTTTTATTATATCATGCTGCCTCCCTAAGAAATAATTTTTTAACAAATAGGTACTTAATATATAGTGACTTAGACTGAAATGAAGTGGCATGGTCACTTGGCTATGGATTTGAGCAAAATGCCCTAGGTATGTTCAACTTTCCATGGTATAACCATTGTTCTGGTTCCTGGTGGCTGCACCAGATTCACAGGTTGCTTCCCCTACCTCACATTCATAGTGCAATAAAAATTTCTACTCACAAAGCTTCTTAGTGGCTTTAAGAAATATAATTATCTCATTAATGTAATGCTAGGTAAGGCATGAATTATTAATACCTTAGCTCTCCCTGAGGTACTTACAGTTTAAAATAGGAAGCTTATTATTACTATTAGTATTCACATTTAAAGCATCTGCTATTTTTTAAGCACTAATTATGTGCCAAGAACATTTACATATACTACCTCATTGAATCCTCTGAACATCCCCACAAGGTAGGTATCACTTCCTCTATTTCAGGGCTTTAAATGGAGGAGGGAGCCTTCCATCTTAAGTCTTCTTGACTCAAGAGTCCACAGCTTCACTCTATTACATAAGAGATGTCTAACTGAGAGAATGTTCCCAAAGTTCTCTAAAGAGAAACGATAGGAAGGCTGATTCCTGAAAACTTCCTACCCCCACTGTGCACTTTTGCTAACTGGTTTAGCTGCAATAAAAAAGATTACTTCATTCTTGAAGACTAGAGCTAAAATGGGCCTCAAGCCCAAACAGATGGTCTTCTGTCACCACCCATTCTTCCCATTAAGAGTGACAACACTAACAAACTTACACAGCACTTACTATGAGCCACACGCATGTATAAGAACCATCACAACAATTCTGCATTATACTCTTACCTCCATGAACCAAACGTTTTAGAATAACTTGCCCAAGCTTATATAGCTAGTAGAAGGCAGTCTGGTTCCATGATCTGTGACACCCAAGGATATGTTAACCCCTAAATAGTGCACTGAATATGTCTTCCATTACTCTACTCTATATTTGTAATTACATAGACTTTCACTACTCCAACAAAAACGGACAGGCTTGGGGTTCCCTTAAACTTGCTTCTACTTCTCTCCAAACCTTTATTTTAAATCACTTCTTCAGCAAGATATTCCAATTTGTCTCTTACAATGGATGGCAGAAAACATTCTAGGAATATACCTGAATTTTAAAGCAGTGTATAGATATATAATTTTGTAACTGAAAAGTAGTTTGAGTTGAAATATTAATATTGCTAGTAGAGGCTGAGAGAGACTCACATCATACAAATTGTGGATTGGTATCATTGAAATTAAAATTCTTTTATTTTTCTTGTCAAAATATAAGTTAGTCTTAAAAATTAAGTGTTTGGTTTGGTTTATTACTACCAAAGACCATGATAAAAATACTTTAAAGGTTAGAATATTTATGAAAATATCATGAACCTAAAGAGTGTTAATTCTGAGGCTAAATGGATGGTTTTGGCTTTATCAACATATGAAGGCTGTATCTTTAACTACTTGAGAAGTATTTGCTATAATATAGAAGAGAAAATGCTGCTGTTCCCAATGAAAACACTTATCTATGTAGCAGCTTTACTTTTGGTTGGTTGTCACACGTATCTGGTTTACTAGTTCTGTTTATGAGATGATCTACTTAGTATGAAACCAAAACCATGCTATCAAAACTCAAATCATCCCATGCATGTTGGAGTACGCTTGTAATCCCAGCTACTCAGGAAGTGGAGCTCAGAAGCATAGCAGTTGTACGCAGTCTGGGTCAAAAGTTAGTAAGATTCCCGCCGCCCCCCCCCCCACAATCTCAACCAAAAAACCAGGTGTGGTAGCATGAACTTATGGTCCCAGCTACATAGGCACTGTTAGAAAGACTGAGGTTTGAGGCTAGCCACAGGCAAAAAATGTGACTCTACCTGAAAAATAACTAAAAGGCAAAAAAAGGCTGAGAGAATGGCTCAACTGATAGAGTCCTCCAGTAAGTACAAGGAGCTGAATTCAAACCCTAGTACTGCTAAAAACAAACAAACAAACAAACCCCCTCCAATTATAATTATGCATGGCTGGCACAGCAGACATGGATAGACAGGAAGAAGATGTTACCTAATGGAAATCATACCAGGAGAAAGACAATATGCTAAAATCTATATGATAATATTCATATACTATGAAACATTTTGGACTTGGAACTCTTTTTCCTTTCTGGCACTAAAATATCATCAATCCAGTACAAGTTTAACTCCTATCACATGGGGTAAAAATTGACCAAGTACACCTTTCCTGACCCTTCAACCAGAGGTCATCAAATACAGATGATGAGCGGCTAGAGTCACACAAGTCATCATTAGTACAATTTGTCTTACCATCAATGTGCACTGAGAGTCAACCAGTGTATATACATTAAAGATGAGAGCTTTTCATGTGATTTTGTTTTCCTGTAATATTTATTTTCCTTTTATAAGGATGTTTTTGAAAATCCTATACTGGGGTATATAATTACTAGCCTCAAGTTCACACTCAGTATGAAAGGGAATATAGCTACAATGTATGTTACAATTAAATTTTTATTTCTGAAAAATAATGTTCTCTAAATTGCCTGTGAAGCCCTTGGTTTAAGTTTTTTACTCCACACCAGGAAAATATTTATTAATTTTTCAGAAAAAAAAAGGAAAATTCCAGGTTTGGGTTTTCTGACTAGCAACAATATTCCCACTAACTGAATCAAAAGGAAGAAATGAAGGATTCATGTAAGATAATGCCTGTTGGAACATCAAGATGGATGCCTGTGAATGCCTGCAGAGCTGAGTGTGCTCTCAAGAGAAGTCGGAGCTGAAAGCAGGAGGGAGCAGGGGGAATTATCCCTCAGAATGAACTTGTGAAGGAGCACTAAGACAAATGCAGACCACCAAGTTCCAGAGGAGACTCCACGATGAAGCATAAGGACTAGAGGGCAAGAGGAAAAGCATACAAAACAAAAGCAACAAAAAGCCATGAGATTTCTGGGACAGGAAGTTTCCAGAAGGAAGGTTTGATCAACAGTGCACAACAGCAGCAAGGTCCAGCACAGTACATGCTGACAATAGACTGGATTTGTTACCAGGTCATTAGCGGCTTTGGCCAGAGCAGTTTCAGTGCAGAAGTGGGGCTGAAACCAGTGTGCATTTTGGAGCAAACAGAGACATAGCCATAAATGCCTAAGCCTAAAAGCTTTTACAGGCTTGATGCCTCAGAGCTGAGAAATTAAACATAATTTATTAAATTAACTGAATTTAAAATTAATAAGTTAAAAATATTAATTAATAAAGTTGGTCTTCAGAAACATTTCATTTTGAAAACAATTTCTCAGATTTTTTTTTTAACCTCACAAGAAATCCTGAGTGAGCACAATGATTGCCAGGAAATAATAATCAATCATAAATTAGACATTCTGCCAAAGCACTTCAAAAGCAAATCATAAAAACCTCTTCAATGTAATTCGCCCTGTTTAATCAGCGATGTAGATCCATTTTATAGGTTCAAAGTAGATTACTCTGGGACAATAAAGGTCCTGAAGTGGTCCTGCTGAATAGGCAAAGCTTTAGGGGACATGAACAGTTTGGCTAAGAAGGCAAGAGACATGTAAGAGAGGGATTAACAGAAGATACAGGAAAGGGTGAAGTAGTAAGCAGATCATCAGTAGACTGTTGAAAAGGAGGGAGAAGAGGTGTCTTTGTGGGATAAAGTCCTCAAAGAAACAGGAATAGAAAGGATCAAGAGCATCCGTGTCCAAAGGTTTCAAACAAGAAAGGTAGAATGGAGAGGGCCAGGTATTGTGGTGTACACTATGATCCCAGATACTCTAGAGGCAGAGGCAGGAGGATCAAGCTCCAAGTCCAGTCGAAGCAAAAGTGTGAGATTCTATTTACCGAGCAAACTAAAAGCAAAAGGACTTGGGGTGTGGCTCAAGTGGTAGTGCACTTGCCTAATAAACTCAAGGCCCTGAGTTTAATCCCCAGTACCACCAAGGTAAAAAAAAAAAATGTAGAAGGACAGCTTTAGATAAACCTGCAGGCATGGGTAAAAACTGAGACTTGTGCTAGAGGCTATTAAAAAAAAAAAAGAGGTAAGGTCTTTTGCTGAAAATGTAAGGAAAAGGGTTAGGAATGGTAACTAAGAATTAATGCAGGGCTGTCAGAGTGGTTCAAGCGGTAAAGGACCTGCCTAGCGGGCATGAGGCCTGAGTTCAAACCCCAGTACCACAAACAACAACAACAACAAAAAAGAATGATCCCAGTATTTCGAGTACAACCTCTCTATGTAATTTTTATTAATCACCTTGGAGCTTAGTAATTTCCATACTACACATAAAGAAACCTGGATTCTAAGTTACATAGGTAATCATTTATAAATGTAAGGAAAAGGGTTAGGAATGGTAACTAAGAATTAATGCAGGGCTGTCAGAGTGGTTCAAGCGGTAAAGGACCTGCCTAGCGGGCATGAGGCCTGAGTTCAAACCCCAGTACCACAAAACAACAACAACAACAAAAAAGAATGATCCCAGTATTTCGAGTACAACCTCTTATGTAATTTTTATAATCACCTTGGAGCTTAGTAATTTCCATACTACACATAAAGAAACCTGGATTCTAAGTTACATAGGGTAATCATTTATTCAAATATATTTTTCAACTAAATGTTAAAGATCTCTTATTATTCTACAATCTCCATTTTCCTACATGCTTACAACAATACACTTGTGACATTCTGATCTTGTAGCATGTCTACTTTTTAACCCAGGCCATCTGTCTTCAGAAACGCTAAACATCTCTCTCCCAACCTCTATCCTCCACAGGGTTCAAGAAAACTCCAAAGCCTAAGTCTTCAAAGCAGAGAGCACAGTGAGACTGGGAACCAAAAACTGTGATGCTTTCTGAGCATGGCTGGGTACTGATTACATCCAGGTTCACCAGTCCAGAAAACCAAGTTAGGGCATGTAATTTCTCTATATATATATATATATTTTGCCATATCAAATACTGAGAAATAAAGAGAGGTGTGGGTAGACAATAAATCAAAATGTTTACTGTGTCCTCACAAAAACCAAGACAGATTTAAAAGTACACTGGAACAAGGAGGTTGGTTTAAAAAGTTAGTATTTTAAGAGAAAAGAAGATTAAAAGGCAGGAAAGGTAATTTTAGTAGTGAAATCAATACAGTAGTTTTCAGAAAAGTTGCAAAGACGTACATGCTACTTGGCATTTTACAATGGAATACATTAAAATCCACCGTACCTCACAGTAAAATCATAGGAGCAGGAAGCCAGCACTGAAGCATGAAATGGTGAAAACTAAAAACAAAATTTGAAAGGTCAGCTATAATTATAACATGCTATTTCCTATGGTCATTACATGAACATTATAATACATTCACTCAGGACTGTCGCTTAAGATTATGCTTTCCCAACCTTATTTGCTTTGAGTCAAAATCTTTTGGCCCTCTAAGTATCCATTTATAGGAAAAACATTTATTTTTGCATTCTCCAAAGAAAATCATCCCTTGAGCTTTGTAGAGCTTATTTAGAGTAAGTATTCCCAGAAGGCTGCTGTTCTGAAAAAATTAAATACAACTTCTTACTGGCAATCCAAACAGAGTCTACAAAAATAAGGAATTTAAGTATGTGATAGTATATACATATATAAGAATTACAGAATTTATCAATTTTATGTATACATATTATGATTGCTATAAATAAACATCAAAATAAACATTTAAAAGTTTAAAACACCTTTAAGTTAAATTCTGTTATTTGAATATTACAGGTAATGAAAGATGACCTATCAAGTAACACTGTCAATTTAATAAATATAAAGACTGCCATTTGCAATTATATTCCTTCAGAGTTCATCTTACTAGAACTTTATTTATTAATTTAGTGTATTACTTATTTAGTTACTTACTTATTTAGTGTGTTTGGTGGTAGGGACCAAAGCCAGAGGGACTCATACATGGTAGGTACGTTTTCTACCACTAAGCTACACCCCAGCCCTAACAGCATTTTATAGTTATGTAACTGTACTTACAGTTTGCAAAGTATTTTCACATTATCCTATTTCATTCTCAGAATCATTCTAAAATACACACAGAAAATATTTTCCAACTAATAAAACCTGTCTCCATAAGAGCACCACTAAAAAATAAATGAAGCAAGAGATACAGTGTCTCATATGTTGTGTTGTAGCCAATAAAATTTAAGAAAGATTTAGAATTTTAAAAATAGGAATGTTGTATGATTATCTTATTGAAAAACTCAATATGCTATTTTTTAATCTTTAATGTTAAAAAAAAATTGGGAGATGTCACTTAATAAAGTGTTTTCCACAGAAATGTATCAAAACTTGCCATGCAAATTTCTCGGGAGCATCAATAAAATGTTACCTCATTCTCTGGTGTTCACAGAGTGGACCCCACACATTTGTGAATATTCATATATGTCATCATGTGAGAAAAAGAAGAGATTAACCATCTTTCTATTACAGCAGTTTCAAAAAAGTAAAGATTTTCCTATCAAATGGAAAATTATAAAGAATATAATACTAAAATTAAACTACTATAGTTAGAAAATAATTTTACAAGAAACAGTAGATTGAGGATCACAGGGTAAAAAAAATTTCTTATTAAATATCTTATGTATTTAATGTTTTCACTGTCTCAACTCATTCAATAATTATTCAAATATTTAGTCTAACTTTAGTTTTCAAAATTCATTACCACTTTTTGGGTGACAAAAACAAGTAAAAAAGAATCAGTAATCCCAGTACTTGGGAGCTAGAGGCAGGAGCATGGAAAGATGCAGGCCAGCCTGAGCTACATAGGAAGATCCTGTCTCAAAAACCAATGCTGGTGATGTAGCTCAGTGGTAGCTCACTTACCTTGCACCAATGTGCAAGGCCCTGAGTTCAATCTCCAACACAGAAAAAAATCAATAACCCTAACCCCAAACACAAAGGTGCACTTCTTTTATATATGCTTCATTGATTACAATTACATTAAAATTTCATTCTACATAAAAAAGAAAAGATAAAATCTTACTTTCACCCTCCTAATGGCATAGGTATGACCAAGAAGTTCAAACACTGGTTGTCGTACATTCCTTAAATCCCAGCCTCTCAAACTACAATCAACTGCTCCTGTCACCAGCAAGTTCTGAAAACAATTCAGAGAAAATCAAGCTATGACATCTTTGCAATTAAGCAGTGGATATGTTTTCCCACCAAGAACACTATCACTTACTCTAGTAATTATTTAGTATGGACCCAGGACCCATTCTTCGGAAGTTGTGTAACAAGTATAAAAAGGAATCAAAGTAGACATTACATACCAAAACAAATTCACATAACTCTAGTAGAAAGAAACTCAATATACTTTATGTATATGATGGAACACTACACACAGTATACATTTCACCTATGTTCTTCAAGGTCAACAAACAATTGTGGTACATAAGTAGTATGTTAACACACATTTAATCCATACCTATTTTTAATTCGTATACTTACGTGATTAATTAAAGCTTTGCAAAAAGTCACACATGGACCCTACTATCTTACAGAAACATGAAAATTAGGCTTAAGGAAGATAAAAGAGAAAATTTAAAAAACTGATAGACTGTCAAATTAAAAATCAAGTTAAAAATAGCTCAGTGTTCTGACTAGCAAAATGAAAAAGAAATTAAAGCAAAAGATGATACAAGGAGGCAGTGTTAAGAACAATCACACACATTAAATTACATAAATTATAAAGCCAGTCCCCAAAACAAAGAAAGGCTACACTTTTGAGACATTCTGTTTCTTATTTTGCATATTTTATGAGCACTTAAATCCAATTAATGCTAAGGCAGGTCAGTCACAATTATTAATTAGCAACGAAAGGGCCTGAATTTAGCTTAGTGGTCCCACAACACCAGCAAAGTCCACACAAACGAAGATCACAGAACTGATCATTTCACCACTTGGAAGAGCAGCAGCTCACCTCATTGTATTTACACCAGTCACAGCTCAAAATCTCTGCCTGGTGTGCTGGAACCACTATTCTGACACCTGCTGCTCTCCTATCCCAGATTCTCAGAGTCTGATCACCTGGTGAAAGAGGGAGATTTGATCACTTTCTATCACACAACTTGGGTGCTCTGTGACAGATGAGCTCATAGTGACAAATCATGTAAAATATTCCCACTGTTAGAATATCACCATCTTTACATATTTTTAAAGGAAGAATTACTAAAAGTGAATGACTACAAAAAGTAACACACCACAATATTGCTTTTAGACCTATTCAAAGAGGAAAATTTGAATCTCACACTGAGATGGCCAAAGGGAGAATTTTCACTACCAGGTTGTTTGTTTGTTTGTTTGTTTTGGTGCCAGGGACTGAACTTAGGGCCTCAAAATGCTAAGACTTGCTATACCACAGAGCTGTCAGCCCCTACTATGTTTGCTTTGATATATACTAAATTTTAATGGACCAGTTAGTGGTAAATCTTTTCTCCTTGGGAAAAAACACCTCAAAAAATTTGAAGATTATACTTTGCATTATTACAAAAATGGTTTGCATTGCCTAACTGTATAAAGTCGCCCTGACTAAACGTTTTACATGCTGTTTGCCTTCAAAAAAAGACAGGATAAATAAAATCTAGAAATATATACATGTACCTCAAAGGTAAACTAAGAACAAATGATGGTGGCCAAAGCTATCTGGTATGATGAAGAACATGCAGTCTCTTGTGTGGAAACAGGTATGTGCTGGAATCCCATTTTGAAGTTGTTTGACCCTGCACAGTGAACACAACATCTGAAAATGATTCCTCATTCCTAAAACAGAAACAGAAAAGCCACACATGGTGGCACCTGCCTAAAATCCCAGCATTCAGGAGGCTGAGGCAGGAGGACCAAGGCCAGTCTGGGCTACATAATGAAACTCTGTATAAATAAGTAAATAAATACAGAATGCCTACTATTCAGGGCTGTGCTACAAGAATTTAATAGAATATAGGTTCTGTAAAGCAATGGTCTCTAGCACACAGTAGACACTATAATACATAAAATCTAAAAATTCTGAATTTAAAAACTGCCCTTGCTGGGCACGGGTGGCTCACACCTATAATCCTAGCTACTCAGGAAGCCAGGCCAGATAGTTCATGAGACCTTAATTTGAAAATACCCAACACAAAAAAGGGCTGGCTGAGTGACTCAAATGGTAGAATACTTGCCTAGCAAGTGTGAGGCCTTGAGTTCAAATCCAGGTACCACCAAAAAAATTGCCCTTTATTTACTTATATATATTTTCAATATATCTAATTCTAAATCATATCATAGGTTAATTTTAGCTAATTTAGACAATTTTCTCCTTGATTTCTTTGGAAGTCACTTAAGAAACTAAAAGAGTTAAATAATTAAAGAATTTAATTAGTAAGAATTAAATTTGTTGATAGTAATGAACGCAGAAGTTAAGGACAGGGGCTTTGAGGTGAATATGGGTGATGTACTTCTTGTTCAAGAATGAATATAGAACTTTTAAACCTGTTAAAATCACCATAAGAAGGGGACAAATATAGAAAGGAGAAAAATAGAGGAGATACAACCAATTTGGGTTATAATACATAAATACATGGGCGTGTCACAAGGAAACTCCATGTAGAGCTATCTCAAACAAACAAAAAAGCCTTTTTTTTTTTTTTTTCAAAAACAGAACAGGAAGGTAAAACAGGTCTTGTCTGGGAGTTTGGACTGTGGAGAATATAAGGGTAAAGAAGGATAAAAGGAAATATTATGTACTCATGTATGAAAATGGAAAAATGAGACATGTTCAAACTATTCCAGGAATGGGGGGTAGAGGGGATAAAGGAGAATGATGGAGAGAGTGAATTCAACTATGATATATTGTAGGAACTTTTATAAAAGTCACATGTACCCCTAGCACAACAACAAAAAACAAAAAAAAGAGAGCAGGGTCTTTGGGTCTGGGATTTAGCTCAGTGGTAGAGCATCAGTCTAACATGCACCAGGTCTGGGGTTTGATCGCCAGAGCTGTAAGTAAATGAGCAAACAAAAAAGATCAGGGGCTTTGAAGGTCCAGAGCTTGGTTCTAATCCAGCTGAATCATTTAGTAGTTGTTGACATTTAAACAAGTTACTTTACTGCTCCTCAGTTTCCTTATTTATGATAAAGTATCTAACAGGTTGAAATGAGATAAGGTAAAGGAGCTAAATGAAGCAACAAACATAGCCATGTTTAGAAGTCATTCCTGTCCCAACCAATAACAATAACATAAATGATAACTAATATTTACTGTATTTCTTACATGCCAATGGTATTCTATTTTATAAAACATCACAATAACTATATGAAGTAGGAATTTTGATAATATATAAAGAGCAATTGTTATAGTATTTTGCAAATGTGGAAACTGAGGCATATGGAATGAAATAACTTACCCAGGTACTAAGCAATGGAACCAGGACCAGGAATCAGAACCCAAGTGGTCTGGCTCCTAGCAGGTATATTTTACAGTTACTCTGTGCTACCTGGTGTTGCTGGAGGACAAATGCCACACAGTCAATGCTGTCTGATTCTTGAGGAATTTCTCTTTTATCTGTTACATTTTCTATAAATTGGGCCATATTCATTCTCTCTCTCTCTTGGAAACATTTTGTCAGATTTGCCTGGGTTATTTTAGGAAAACAACCCTTACCAACTATGGATAAAGTTAAAATCTCTCTTGTATTTCCAATCCCAGTTTCCATCCTCCCTGGCCTAGAGGCCACAACAGTCACGACTTGCATGCATTCCTTTAGTCTGTGTTTTGCAATAATTTTGTTACTTTTGGATCTACAAGTATATACTACTGCCTTTGTGTGTCAGATTTTTTTCTTTTCTAATTAAAAAAAAGTTCTGGTACTTTAGGTAAGGTTGAAAAACACTTTGATAGATAAAGTAACTAGCATTTTTGGATCTAAAGACTATAGGGATGAAAGGAAATGATGAGTCTGAATGCACCAAATAGAAATAGTTCTAAACTGATACAGGCTAGAGCTTTTAGGGCCCCCAAAATAATGACTGTCTTTTGGACAAGAGTTGGCAGAACTTGTCTCAGAACTCCAAGTGTCTTTGAGGGAATGACCTCTCCTGACTTTCCCTAGCCTTCGGTGTCTATAGGAGGTGTGTATAGGAGGTGTGTATAGGAGGTGTGTATAGGAGGTGTGTATAGGAGGTGTGTATAGGAGGTAGCGTGGACGTCAAGAGTCTGGTTCACCTGGCCAACATCCTTCTAGGAGCGGCACATCCCCACTCACCAAGTGATCCTAAAAAGACCCAGAGCTACGCACAGGCTCAGACCATAGCTGGCAGGTCAAAGGTGAGTACTTGGAATTTTTCTGAACTATAACTGAACATAATATATCAGTCCTTCTCTTACAGAGAATTTGCAAATCATAACCTTCAGGAGCCTCTGGTGACCATGTGTCTCAATGTTTGGAGCCTACCGAGTCAAGTCACCAAGCAAGAACAAGTCCAGATGAGAGGCACAGAATGTGTCCTGGAGCAATAGAAGCATCCCTTCTTTTTCTGGGGTACGCTTTTCAACAAATGTTACAAAGACGTAAGACAGTTCTAGTCTTATCACTTATAGGCAGGGGAGGTGCTTACCATCATGGAGGGAGTGCACGGTAATCTCTCCAAGTTTCTGCCTCTAAAAAAAGTCAAGCCTCTATTCATCATGAGGCTTCCACTAACACATAAAAAAATGCTCACGTGATTGTCACTGGCTTTCAAAAACTGGTACTTGGTCAGAAACTCTAAAGTCTGCCAGAGACATAACTAAAGCACTGTCTAAAGTCTAGTGAGCTTATTTATGTTCACCTGATAACTATTCACTATTCACACATGAGTATGTGAATTGATTTAAAGAGCCAACATGTTACAATGAGTGAAGACTAGGAAATTAAGAAGTAACCTATTTTAGCACTAATACAAATAAATCTCACAAGACATATGGTGAGCAAAAGAAAGCAGACACAAAAGTATACAAGGCAATGTTAATCTTTGCGATTAGAAGGAAGACACGGTCACCCTGAGTACAGAGGGTGGCAGGGAGGAGCAGTGACCTAAAGAACAGGACAGGGCTCTCTGGAGTAATACTGTTACTTTATTTCCTCCTAGTACGGGGTTTAAACTCAGGACCTCGCACTGGTTGGGCAGGCACTCTATCACTTGAACCACATCCCCAGCCATAATTCTGACTCTTGACCCAAGTGCTGTTTATACAGATGTGCTCATTTTGAAAATCCACCAAGTTGTACACTTAACGGTAGACACCTGTTACATACGTGTACAAAAGATAAAAAACAAAGGTTGGGTAGATGGTTACTCTAATTCTCTGACACGATACTTTAGTTCTGCAACACCACATTCAAGCAACGTTTTTTTTTTAAAGCCATGGCTTAGGTTTTTCCCCTCCTGCCACTAAATGGAGGGACACAAAACTGTGAGTAATGCTCTACCAGAGCTAGAAATTCCACTCCCTTGAAAGACACACACATTTGGAACTCTGCCCTCATCACCGTTTCCCAGGTAAGAGAGGGACCTTCTAGGCAAGTGTACAATGACTCATCTAACTCTTTCAACCACCAGCACATCTACATTTACGTTGCTTTTGTTTTTTCTTTTTTAAATCATATCTTCCAGACACCTGGCCTTTTCACTGTCAGCCAGATGTTTACTAGGGCCCTGTGATGGCGCCATGGCAGACCTACCATGGCAACATAACCCACTGAATAAGAAGTTCTGGCTGCTACTATGTCTAATTCCAAAATGCAGAAAACAAGAAGTTGGTAAGAACAATGAGAGTAAACAGAGTCTGAAATTGTGATGTTAAATGAGTACCAAAAGAGTACTTTGGGGCTCAAATAATTAATAGAATTGAAATGCCAGATGCCTGTCAGAAATAATGAGCTTCATACAATAGAATAAGGTTTATTTTAACTGCTGCTAGACCTCACACATTCAGGAATGGTTATAACTGGTGCAATTACATGGAGTCTGTAATAGCAGTAATTTAGTTTTCATGGTTCAAAAGAAAGTTT